AGAGCCGCTACCCGGTGTGCGGCAGTGACGGCATCACCTACCCCAGCGGCTGCCAGCTGCGCGCCGCCAGCCTGAGGGCCGAGAGCCGCGGAGAGAAGGCCATCACCCAGGTCAGCAAGGGCACCTGCGAGCAAGGTGGGCATGAGCGCGTTCCCCTCCGACCCCGCCCCGCTCAGCCCGGAGAGCAGGGCGCCCCCTCGCGGGGCAGACCTGATAGGGCGTCTGCGGCCCGCGGCCCGCGGCCCAGCTGGTTCCCGCGGCTCCTCCCGTGGGCAGGAGGGGTGGGGAGGAGTTGGCGGCCGAGGGATGCCTGGAGGGATGGGCGTAGTCTCCCCTTCTCTTTTTTTGGTGGTTTTATTTTGAGAGTTTGGTGCGTGCGCCAAGAAAGTGAGGACTACATGCCAAGTGTATATATGGAAAAGATTCCCGATTCCACAGACACTCGCATCCCCAAAGCTCACCCAGCTCGTGCTAATCGCTGGCAAATCGATCTTCAAAAGCTGCCCCCACTCTTTTGGCAACCCAGAGTTGTCATTGTCTCTTTGTGCTTTCTTGGCTTGGGTGTATAGAGATGAAGCCAAGAGGGGAAAGAAGTTTGACGATGAGATACAAAGTAAGGACTCTCAGAGAGAAGTTAATTGTCCCACATTTAATTGGCTAGATTGTAAGAATTTTACAAATTGGATTTCATGGTTTCTTCTTTCTTAATATTAAGGAAAATAATTCACTTACTGGAAGTTAGAGTCTGAAACAGTAATCTAACTGTCTAATTATATGTGGGCAAAAACCCCCAAACTCTTTGAAGAGTGTTTTTTAATGATGTTGTTTATGTTGTGAACCTTATGACCATTTTGTTTTTCTTTCTTGTTCCTTTTTTGCGTAATTTGTTCCCAGGATGCATTGTTCAGCAGGAATGCCTTTGAGGTTATGTTTGGTCTTTTATTTTATTCCAAACAAGTCCAACCAAGCTTGCATAAATGAAACGGGAAAATAGAGTCTGGACTTGCAAAAAAAAAAAAAAAAAAGAGGGGGCTTTTAATTCTAATGTCTGAAATAACATTTTCCATAGGCAGTAGTTTCAAGGGAAAGTTAGAAATCCAACCTTGGCAGTCCCTCTCCTGGTCTGAGCCAAGGTAGAAAAGAGAGGAGGTAGTTCTCCTGAAATGACAGAAGCAGTTGCTTCTTTAACACAGCTCAGACTTTCTCCAAGCTTTCCAAATAATTCTTTTTTTTTTTTAGAGTTTTTCCCAGAAGCCCAGACACTAATAGGTTATCTGTCACTGATTTCAGAGTTCACTATTGAAAGCCTTAAATAGTGTTAACAACTTACTATTAACTATTTATATTATCATCACCTTAAATTTAGAAAATCACAATCCAAATAATCCGCATACTTTTCCAACAGAACCAATCATTTGTGCCTTTGGGTCTAATTTATCAGTCATGCCATGAAAAGAGAAATGTCCATAGTTTACGAATTCATTCCAAATACTGACATTTTTCTTGCACATTCCAAGGGGAATTTTTCCCCATAGTCTTTCCAAATTCATGGAACTTGCCTTGTCAAAGCAGAAGGTTACCTCGGTGATGATTTAAGTATTGTCAGTTCTAGCCTGTAGGTAGTTTTATCCATCTTCTCTTCTGCTATTTACATCTCTAAACAATCACACAGTGCAATTATCAAATGTTGAGCTGGATAGTCATATAGAAGGAGTCACATAACTCCATTATCATGTAAACCCATCTCTGCGTCTCTCCAGACTGCAAACCCCATGAGGGTACAGACCTGGTTTTTCTTTATGTTTGGGAAAATGTTAAGAGAAATAGCATCTAAAACTGAAAACCTTGACACAAATTAGCCTTTTTTCCCCAACCTAAATTTAGAGATACGGGGTCCAGTGCCTGGGGCCCTATAGGGAGAATGCCAGAGAGAGCAGAAAAGGATGTGAGGTTCACCAGAGTACTTTTCCTCAGCAGAGATAAATGGGACTACACCCAGATTTCCTAATAGATTTCTCCTGATTCCTGGATGTGTTTTGACAATTATAGAAGCAAACCCATCAGAGTGCCATGTACTTCTGTGCCATTTAGTACTGGGGCTTTGCAAAGAGTAGGAAATACATTTCCTGGGTTCTTCCAGCCTTTTCTACCCTGAGAAGAAACTTGAATTATGCTTCCTCAAATATTGAGAGGGAGTGAGCATCACTTTTCTACCCTGAGAAGAAACTTGAATTATGCTTCCTCATGAGCATCTCGCATGTGTCCGCACTGTGCTAGCTGCTGTGCAGCTGGGGATGCACAAAACAGATCTGGTCTTGCTGATTAAGAAAGGATCCATACAGGTTACAAACCTACGTCTCAAAGCACTTTCCCTGGAGCCATGGAGACATTCCCCGTCTTTTCCCAGTCCCTTCTTTTCTGAAGTCACCACTTACTCACCTTCTGGGGAGAGATGCTGGTCCACTTGTTTTTTGTACCTACCTCTGTGATAAGAAGCAAAGCCATCCTTTTGAAAATCTGCATAAAAGATAATGAGTTAATAATCTCAAATCTTGAAACTGTCACCATGAATTTAGTGCCATTAGGTCTTATTGAGGTCCCTGAAGTCATGGGTAACTGGAAGAGGGGATTTGAAAATTCAGTTTAATACAAAGTTAATAGAGATGCCAAGATGTATAATAACATCTCACAGGCGGAAGAGAACATGGTGCTCCTTTATTCCATTTCTTGGTACCCCTATGTTCTTGGTCTTTTATATCTGAGCTCCATGGCAATCTCTTGGTCCCTTTGGGTCCCACCCCCTCTTCTTCTCCCTCAAAATTAATGTTGACTTGTGGAATCAGAATTCATTCTTAAGGGTCTCCCTTGTTAATACTTTTAGGACCAAGTTAAAACTACTTAGCAAGGCATACGAGGCTCTTCACAATAACTCTTATTTTGGCCTCTTCTCTCCAACCCCCTTTATGGTCCACAATAATTGTTCGCTCTTTGCTGTTGTTTGCAATCACACCCTCACTTTCCTTTCCCCGCTTTGAACCTTAGCCTTCAAGGATCAGCTGATGCCACCTTCCCTGGGAAGCCCCTTGACTCTCTCCCCACCACCTGCCATAATGATGTCCTTGTCCTTCTTCAGCTCAGTGTAGGCTTCCAGCCATTATTTTATATGTTCTGATTCTGCTTATACATTTTTTGTTGGGGGGTGGAGGGTGTTACTTTTTTAAATCTATTTTTCATTAGGATAACATTGGTTTATAACATTACATAAGTTTCACTTGACATGTACAGCATTATATTTCTTCTTCTGTACACCTGACAGGGTGCTCACCACTAAAAATTTTGTTTCCATCTGTCACCATGCAGTTGACCCCCTTTATCAATTTTGCCATCCACCCCATCCCCTCTGGTGACCTGTCTACATGTTGGTTTTTGTTTGGTTTGGTTTGTTCACTTATTTTTGTTTTTTGGTTTTTTTTTATTCCACATATAATTTAAATCATTTCTCCTTCTGACTTATTTCACTTGGAACAATACCCTCAAGATCCATCCATGTTGTTGCAAATGACAAGATTTCATCTTTTTCATGGCGGAATAGCTTTCCATTGAATACATATACCACATGTTTATCCAGTCATCCATCACTGGGCACTCGGGTTGTTTCTGTATCTTGGCAATTGTAAATAATGCTGTGATGAACACAGTGGTGCATATATCTTTTCAAATTAGTGCTTTTGTATTCTTTGGGTAAATAGCCAGAAGTACGATAGCTGAGTAGTTCTATGCTTAATTTTTTGAGGAATATCTATACTGTTTTCCACAGTAGCTGCACCAGTTTACATTCCCACCAACAGTGCACGAGGGTTTCCTTTTATCCACATCCTCACCAACACTTGTTATGGCTTTTTGGTAATAGCCATTCTGACAGGCGTGAAGTCATATCTCATTGTGGTTTTGATGAGCATTTCCCTAATAATTAGTGATGTTGAACATCCTTCTTATGCCTATTGGCCATCTGTATGTATTTTTGTTTGGAAAAATATCTATTCATCTCCTCTGCCTTCCAGCCACTTCTTCAACAGTATTTACTGCACATGTAACATGTATATATGAGAAGTGGCCTTGGAGCAGAATAGTTAAGACACTGAGTTCTAGAACCAGACTCTCTGGGTGTGGTAACTTAGCCTTGAGCAAGTTCCATGACCTCTCTGGACCTGGGTTTCCTCACCTGTAATACAGGGATTATAATCATACCTGTCCTGTAGAACTGTGAAGATTCAGTGTGAAAGTTATCCGTAGAAAACACTCAATGAATATTCATTGCTCTCATTATTTCAACTTGAAATTAAGCTCCTTAAGGGAAGGGAATTTTTGCTCCCTGTTCTGTTCTCAAAGGCCTAGATCAGTGCCTGGCACTAGCAGATTAAACATATGTTGAATGGATGAATGAATTTGTCAGGCACTCTTCTAGTCCCAGGGTAGGCAGCCTTGAATAAGATAGACAAGATCCCTCTCTTGTGGCATTTACTGTAAGTTTTAGACAGAAACAAGTAAACATATTTTCACGTAGTAGTGTGCGCTGTGAAGAATGTGCACCAGGGAGTAGGACAGAGACTAGGGATGGATGAGCCATGGTAGGTGGGTGGGCCGAGCCATGCTGAGGACCTTGTGAGGATTTCTGCAAAGGGAGCAGAGCTCCTGAGGGGACATAGAGCTCTTCCAGTTAGTGTAGCACCTTCCACAGCCTCCAAAGGGTTCTCTGAATGTCTGTCTTCCTCTCAGGACCAGCAGCATCCTAAAAGAGGGACTCCGTCTTCCTATTCTTTATAAACTCAATGACTGGCTAATAGTTGGACACTTTCTAAATATTTGTTCACGAAATGCAGGAATCCTCTTAAGAAAGTGCCTTCTCGTTGGAAACCAGGCAGTGGACTCTTCTGCCTGTCTGCCTTCTATTCTCGCTGCGTCTTCTGCCTGCCTGATGTGTGAGCCAGGGAGTGCATCGGACATTGGCTCGCCTTCCCATCCTCTGCTGTTCTGAACTCTAACATTAGATGGTCACTTTCCCCCTCAAATCCCATTTCCACATCTTCTTGCTGGTTAGAATTAGGTTGAGAGCAACAGAAACCATTCTGTAAATG